GTCCTACCCCTGCGTGCTTCCAACCTGTATCTGGATGAGCGCCCCTAGGTCGGTGCCTCGGATTGCGCTGATGTTCGGCTTGCAGAGGTCGGACAGCGGCGGCAAGTGCGTGATTCGGATGTGCGCGTTGCCCTTGACCGTCAGCACCGGCGCACGTCCGCTGTCGTTGTTGTTGTTGTTGCTGTTGTTGTTGTTGCTGTTGTTGTTGTTGATGTTGTTGCGACTGCTGTCGTCTTCTGCTGCTTCTTCCGCCACGATGCGGGCTTGGACCTCGCCCAGTGCCTCGCGCATAAGCTACGTGTCGGGCGGCAGAGACGATCGCTCAGTGAGCCACACGCGCGGCATGTGCGTGCGTGTGTCCGCGCATTTCTCTTAGCTACCATCTTACGTTCACATGCTCATCATCGACCCTCGAATGTTCACCGGCTGAGCACTGAAGGAAAAGGACGCCAGTCTTAGCTAGACGAAAAACAAAACGAGCTTCCACATGTGTTCTTGTGACGTTATTCGCACAACCATGCCGGCCGCGACGGGGCCGCTACTGCAACATCATCATCGGCAAGAGGATGCAGTTCTTCAGATTTTCGCGATGCATCGCGAGCCTCAGCTCGCGTCCGAATCCGCTCGATTTGTGCAAAAGAGCGGTAGAAAGCAGCAAGAGACAAGGCAGGGAGTCGCGACCCCCCCCAGGTAACACTACCATTGTTGTCACACTGTCGCAAAGGAGATCTCCATCTCTTCGCCCCCCTGCCCTGTCTTTCGACCATGCGTGTTTCCTTGTTCCCTCTGTTTTCCGCCCGTGCGAAACTCCTGCAACTACGCTTTCCCCGTTGTCCGGGTACGTACCTACGTACGTACGCACGTACCTCCAGTAAGAGATCCGGACGGTGCAGCACCAAGTAGGCCAGCCGTGAGTCGAAGTGGATCAGATCTTGGGCGCTGAGATCGTCGGCGGTAGAGGGTCGGGAGCAATTTGCAACAGTCGGATGGCGTCAAATGGTGTCGTGCTTCGAATCGCGGCATCTACGCCCAAATTCTGGTCAGGTTGTGGTCTTTGTGCTGTACAACGCCGTACTTTGCTTTCGGACAACGTTGAAACGCTGCCACACTCGGAGGCCAACTGCGCATCACGCAGGTGGCTGGATAACACTGCGCATGAAGTCCCTTACACAGGGTTTAGGTTCTACGAATGATAAAACCACCCATGTTGCAACGACAAACTGCCTACTCAAAGAGTCATTTCTGGCCGCGTCCACGACAGAGTGAGTACGCATGTACAACTGCGTTGCGCAGAATGTGAGGAGTCATGGGTCGCCCGCGGTGCCCCCACAACATTTTGCCGTAAGGCGCGCTGAAGGAACCACGAAACCACACAGCCATGACACAGCACAAGAGAAAGGAAGTGAGCAACAAAAACACCGCGAGAAACACCTCCTTGTTCGCGTCTCACTTGACTGCGAGCGCGTAGTCTTTCTCCTGGTCTTGGGCGGAGACGATCGTCCCGTGTATTTTCGCCAGGTACCGCCTCTCCAGAAACGTTGCCATCTGCGCCACGTACTCATCCGGGCCTACCCTCACAAAAGAAGAGTCAGCCCACGTGTACAGGAAAGAACAGAAACAGGGAGAGCCGGAGGGAAAAAGAGACGGAGACGGGGAGGGGGGAGTATCCTCTTGGTCAGTGTTCTGCTCCTTTCCGTTGGATCGCCGTTTTGAAAGGAGCAGGATGCGCGAGAACACCACACAACACAAAAACGGGAAACACTGTCACGAGTATCGGTGCGAAGGGCGAGCTCGTCACACAGGTGCGCATTAAGAGAGTACGCCGCTGGTCCCGGCTACATGCAAACATCCCTTCACAAGGACCACCATGGAGTGCACACGGCGACAGCACGCGAGGCACTCGCCTATGTCCTTAGGGTCGTACATCTTCAGATCCTCTGCGCGGTGGCCGGTGGCAGGCCGATGCCGCCGTCGCGGCCTCCGACTCCCGGAGCCATCATCCAGCCGCCGCCGTCTATACGCCCCCGCGCCTCTACCGCTTGCACCACCCTGGCCGCTGATGCCGCGTCTTGGACGGGGAGCACCGTCTTCATTTTCGAAAGAACCGTCGCTATCGGAGTGGGTGTAGCCTTGACCCTGGGAATGATGTGTTGGGTGCATGATGCGTTGTCTTCGGGGAGAGGAGGGGGCGTCGGAAGAGGGAGGCGTCCAGCGAGGGGGGCGACAATGGCACGGGGCTATGAGCGTAGGGGAAGGGGGCGTACTCATGTTCTGCATGCCTTAGTTGCTAGACCATTGGAGGATGGGAGAGACAATGCTGCTACTCTTACACTTCTATCTTGTGGTTGCAAAGCCCTATTGCATCATATCCATACTCCAACATTATTAACGGCACAATTACGGTAAGAAAGTGCGGGCGAAGCACCCGGGTGTGAGATCGATCGATTTTCGACGATCGACTGCTCCACAACGGAGGGGTGCGGTGCGAAACACGACCGACACGTGGAAAAGGAAAAGTTCTCGGCCAGAGTTTTTCCAGAATCACTTTTTTTGGCATCAGCCAATTGGTTGCGGGATAATCGAACTCTGCAAGTGATGTACACCCAAGGGTTTACCCGCAATTTTATTGTTTCCAGCACGTCAAAAATGATTTGATTTTGCACCCAAATCCTCTCAAAGTTGCTTGGGTTTGCGTGTTGTTCAAGGTGCAGCTGCATATTGTGCATGCTACAAAAGGGGTTCTTTCTTCGCAACGATGTAGAACTCCGCTGAAATCAACAAAGCGCGCATTGTTGATGGCCAGCAGCCAGGGCAGCTTGTAGTAGACAGCAGGTGGGAAGAGATTGCTGCTGTTCGCCAACATATATTCTCGATAGCCAGGAACAAGGACCCCGTTGATCGAGTCTGATCCACATTTTGAGCTGCGTAGGACACTTGCAGAGCGCAGGAATATCACAGGGAATATCGCGGGTGCGGCAAATAGTATTTTGTTCAAGACTATCTGGCGAAAGACAAGCACGAGTAAGCGCCCGCGGTACCCCATTTGCTTCGTGGCCAGACACGCGGACAGTGACACAAATACCACGGCGCTACCGAGCGTGTTGCCCATTTTACCTGAAGATACGACACGAAAAGATCGCAGTAGTGGCAGCAGCAGAAGCAGCAAAATGACGATGGAGAAGCAGCAGCGCAGAAGCTATGTCAGCTGCATGGGGGGGCGAGAGGAGCGGCGTCGTTCGGGCCGTGCCGCCGATTGATGTGCCGATGTCCCGGGAGCTTGCGAATTTGAAAAAAGGTTTCCATACGTTCGCGAGGCGCTGCGACAATATGGAGGGTATGCATCTTTCCTATTCTGCGAGGACCCGTTCTGCAGGTGCAGCAGTGCCTGGCGCATAGGAACACCACCCCTGCACCTCGCCAAAAAGATGGCGCATATCGGGTTCGTCAGCACGTCAGTACTAGAGTCAAAGGATGGGGTGAGTGCCGATTTCCGATTCCTTGAAAAGAGCGCAAAAATGGTTGCGACGGGGTCAAATTGTACCGCTTCTTCTCGGGGGGACAGAGTAGTGCCTTACCGGTTTGTAGAACTAACCCTAGGATGGACTGGGAGAGTCCGGTAACATCTGTTTTGCCGTATTAATTGTACTTGTTCCGTCCTCCTGGACTATTGGTCTGTAACTGATGGCACCAGATACTGGATGAATATGTCTATACCGCCTACCTTGGGTAATAGAGTCACCGGTGGTTGTGTGATCACTTGCTGTATGTCTTGGATGGGATCGGCGTGTAACAGTCCTGATGAGCAGATCTGCGGTACCGTCGTTTGTTATTCACGTCTCCATACAAGATATATTGCACGTCTCCAGACAGAGAATCTGCGTCTTCTACAATGACACTGTCCATGGATCTATTTTCCAGGCTCTGGGGGCATGACTCACTGTGTTATGTAGCGTAATCGATACAGCTTTGAAATGGAGCAAACCGTGTGCACAATATTTTCAACGTGTGTGTTCCGACAGCTGCTGGATCTGCGTGCATTTTGGTGAGGAATCAACGTACCGGCAGATCATACCCAAAATCTCGCGCTCACAGCAACCAGCACCGGCAAAAAAATCATGGACTGGTTGGTGTGCGTTGTTGATATAAATCGGTTTGGAGTAGGCGCGAGTGGCATCGTTACTCGCTTCGCTCGAAGGCACTTCACGGGGTTTCGAGCGCGCTGCAGTGTGCGGTCACAGCAGTACGGTGTGACTCGCTTCGCTCGGAGACACTTCAGTTTCGGGCGTGCTGTAGTGCGCGGTGAGAGTGCGGATCGACTCGCATGTACTCAAAGGCAGTCAGTTCATGTGCGGGCAGTGTGATGCCCACCCCTTCTCGAGAGGAAGTTCCTCGGTGTGCCTCTCTTTGCCCGTAGTGTAGTCCAGGCACTTGGCTCTATTATTATTACATAAGAAGATTATTCATTGTTCGATCGCTCAGCAAGTGCATACTTCCCCCTCGATACGCCTTTTGCCCCACCCACACCGTGATGTTCAGTGATCCAGGCCACACACCCGTCCACTCGCTTGGAGCATTGTATGACTGTCTTTCGTCCCACAGTCAGTGCAGCGCACGCAGCTCCCCTACCCCTCAACCGTAACTATTGTAACTGTCGAGGAAGGCTTCTGAGTTTGTTTATGGCTGGCGGCGGCATAGAGCTCACGGCAATAATAGTGGAAAGCAATCTGATGCCGAAGAGTTGCAAGAAGAGCAGCAGCAAGCAGCATACCCGGGCAGCGATACATGAAGTCGGCTACGCACGAGCGTCGACGCCAGCAGCGAGCTGCCGGATAGGAGGAGTGTTGCCGGAGCGTTGTGGTCCGTTTGAATTTGACCCCACCCCCCACCCCCTCCATTTTTTTTTGTTTCCTCCGTTTTTGTTTTTTTGGCGGTAACCATAATGGTGGTCGAGTAGATCATGTTGTTCGAGGTGAACCCTCACTCCGCGCAAGGGGGATGATCGCACCACGTTGTGTTAGAATGGTCAAGCACCCTCGAGGCACTTACACAGTTCTTACAACTGTCTCTGGAAGTGAACGCACCAGAAAATAAATTAAGTCAAACGCAGCTGTCATCCGTACGCAAGAAAGTAAGCACAAGATGCCGAAAACCCTTAGCAGGATGCAGCGCACCCTTCATGCGACTCGCCGAATATCTCACGGCGCTTCGCGCTTGGTGATGTGAGAGCCTGGTCCGGTGAGAACCCGGCGTGCTCCGTCCCGGCTTTGTAGGGATGCGAGGTCAATGGTCTAACGACTACGGCATGCACGACTACGAGTACTATGAGTACACCCCCACCCCCTCCATCCGTACGCATGGAAAGTATGTAAGAAGGGGGTACGTATGCAGTTGTTCCGTGCCCCAGCAGCAGCCTGAGAACCAGCGTGAGTTCGTTCGAGCACAAGACAGAGAGATAAGAGCAGAGCAAGAGCGGAAAGAGACGTGCAGCAACTGCTGTGATGACGACTCAAGTATGTTATGTGTGCGCGTATGATGTGTGATTGTACCTGTTGATGCGCACGCATGGAGGAGAGGGTACATCCACGCTGCTCTGCGGTTGATTCCTAACCGAAGCACCGACAGGCAGCTGCTACGAAGATACTATTGGATGCTGCGCTGGCAACCCCGTGCTACTGTACAGCTCATACCGGTCGCCCCGGTGGTCTAGTGGTACCCTCGTAATCCGCTAGTCGCAGAGGTCGTGAGTTCGAATCCCCATGGGGTGAAAAAATTACGAAATGTGCGGGTGAAAGCGAAATATAGCTAAAAAAACTCTCGTGAGTACCAAGCTTCGACGTTAGCACCGTTGACGAGGGAAAGGGACGGCTGGACCCTTCTCGCGATAAAAATAAAATTCAGCACGCACTGCAGGAGGAAGGTGGGGCATGAAAAGAAATAAAAAGAAGAAAAAACAAAAAGCCCTGGTGTTAACCCCCTCCTGTGTGACCCTGGATGGTTGTAATTGTACGAAAAAATACACTGAAAAGTGTAGTACTCTACATACGCTGAAAAAGTATAGTACACGTCTCACCACGAAAAATGGGGGGACTGTAGCCATAATATATAGGACGGAAAAAAAAAAACACACACACGCACACACACACATGGCGGCCTCGTCACGACCCTCACAGGCGGGCAGGCTAAGAACACATAGGTGGCACAATCTATCTCACAGNTCCTAGATTCGAGCGAATGCATTTGTGTAGCTGAGATGTGTGTCTACGTGAAAGAACATGTGGAGAGAGTCGTATTGGCATTCGCATCAAGCGCATTGCGCATTTTTCGAATTTTGGCCCCCTTCCAGGGACCTTGATTTTTACCCGCTGGCACTGACGTCTTTTAATTGGTCAGCCGGTTAGCGCGGTCGATGCTAATAATAAAAACACACACACAGCTCATGGCTGTAGCAACCGCCTGTTGGTTTACAGCAGTAGACACATGCAGCCCAGCAGCCACAGATGGGTTGCCTCCTGTGTTGCCACGCAGTGCTGAGCCTGCTGTGTGTGCTGAATGTGTAGGTTGCCTGCTGTGTTGCTACGCACTGCTGTGCCTGCTGTGTGTACTGAATGTGTAGGCTCCTGTTGTGTAGTAGTTTGGCGTTTTGGTTTTCCGGGGACGCGCCTCCCGCAGCCTAGGGCACAAGGAAGCGAGATATATGATATATGTCGGAGGTGTTGCACGCCCTCCCCCCCCCCGGTTTGAAGACTTTGTAGAAGACAGGCTATGCAGTTGTTCCGTGCCCCAGCAGCAGTTGATTCAGTCGAGAGAGGCAGCGTGAATTCGAGCACGTAGAGAGAGAGACAGAGAGAGATGAGTGCAGCAACTGCTGTGATGACGATGCCGTATGTAATGCGAGGGCCTATGATGTGTGGCTGCAGTGCTGTTGATGCACACGCGTGGAGGAGAGGGTAGTCCACGCTGCTCTGCGGTTCCTAACCGAAGCACACACAGGTAGCTGCTACGAACTGAATAGAAGTACACTGGTTGCTGCGCAGGCAACCCCGTGCTGCTTAGTAGCAACCGTCTTTAGTATAGTGATGCAGCCCAGCAGCATGCTGTTGTGTACTTGTATGGGTTGGCTGCTGTGTTGCTACGCTGCTGCTGTTCCTGCGTGTGTGCTGAGTGTGTGTAGTCTGCTGCTGTGTTGTAGTTTGGTGTTTTGGTTTTCCGCGGACGCGCCTCCCGCAGCCCAGGGCTCAAAGAAGCGAGATATACATGTCCGGAGGTGTTGACCCCCCCCCGCCCCCTGGTTTAAAGAATTTGTAAGTCTGGGGTATGCAGGGGCTCCGTGCCATGCATGCATGCGGTGTGACCGCTGAGATAATCATATCGTAGCTGCTGGATACAGACCGACAGACACAGGACACACAGCGAAAGATGCACACAGACAGCTGTGAGATACAAACACGTGCAATAGCAGCAGTAGCTGGCAACCTGTGTGGCTATGATGTGTGGTTGTACATTCGTTTGATGAGGTGATGTGTACGTGACGTGTGCACACAGCAGCAGCAGCAGCAGCAGCAGCAGCAGTCTAGCAGTCAGTGGTTTGCTTGGTTCACTAAACGCGTGGTTTGCTGGGTTCACCACACGTGTGGTTTTCTTGGTCCACCACCAGTGCCGGGGGGGGGTAAACCCCCCCACGGACCCCCCCCTCACCCACGCGTGTTTTGCTTGGTTCGCCAAACGCGTGGTTTGCTTGGTCCAAAATATATTTACTTGATTTTTAACAACTGCACACAGCACGTGCTGGTAGAAATAGGTGACGTGTTTAAAAGTCGAAATGACGCCTGCACCTATACGTATGTCTTGCCCCAACATCTCCACCCCGTGTGATTTCGCCGTCGCTGCCGCCGACAGATCGACTTCAACGAGGAAGTTCGAAAAGAGTCCGAGGATGTCCTGGAGGCGGAGCGCATCGCCAAGGAGGCCGACAAGAAGCCGCTGTGGGAGCAGCTGGCGGGCAAGCGGGACGAGAAGCAGGCCAAGTTCGACGCCGTCCGGGCGTCCATGTTCGGTACGCTTTTTGCCGCCGCGCCCTCTGATGTACAGTAATGTCATCCTTTTGGTGGATTCGAGGCATCTACCTTGTAGGTGGTCAAGCACCAGCGCATGGTGCCCCCGTTTGCCCACAAAAACACACAACTGCTTCTTTCGCCCATCGGGCCGTTGTCCTTCGCGCGTCACCTTTTTGGCAGCGCCCCCTCGAGCCCTTGACGATGAGGAGTCCAACTTCTTGCAGGGGGTAGAGGCGCAGCGGCTCGAAGCTAAAGAGCGAAAGAAGAAGTGGGAAACGGAGGAGCTGAGAGGTTTCGCTCTGGCGAGGGCGAATCAAACGGGTGCGTTTATGTCGCAGGGTTTGGCTATCTGATGGTCGACCTAAAGCTGCAGGGGCGTGAAAGTTTCCTCTCTATGCGGTTACATGGAAAGCTCTATCGCAGATGATCGCCGTCAGATTTTTGCGGGTTCTACTATTTTTCGGGGGTAGTATGTCATTGTTCGCATCGTTTCACCACGAAGTCTTGAAAACTACTATACATAGTACCCACGATGAAAATTGCCAGGTAGTCTTTGTCTTGAGCTACAGATCGCTATTATAGCGACTCGTGTTCCCTTCCTTGCAAAGTGTACGCGCGTATTGTTTAGATCTTCTGACGGCTCTGGCATTTTTGCGACCACGGACCGAGTCTTTGCTACATGTTGGGAGTAGCAACTGACACGAGTTTAATGATGTGAAGAAAACAACATAAGTGCCAGTCAAATAGGCCTCTCGCACGACACCCTGACACCACGAGACGCTACCGCCCGTCCCGTCGCGCCTGTAACGATTCGACTCCTGCGCACGCGAAGCAGTTGCGATCGCGGAACCGAAGAAGCCCAAGGCGAAGCCTCCGGCGGACGGTGGGCGAGGGGACCAGGATCAGCAGGACCGTCGGGCCGGCGCACCCCCACCGGTAGTGGCCGTCAAGATCAAGACCAAGCGAAAAAAGTGCGCGCACATGGGGTGGTGAACAGCAGTCGCAGTATCCGTCGGTATCGCTTTCGTTACCGAGCTGGCGAGCTTCGGAATGGTTGTGAACGGAGTTGACCAGGAAGGAGAGCAGGCGCTTGCGTGAGGGAGGAAGCGCGTGCGAAGTGTCGTTCGTTGGCCACTAGACCTGACCACGCGTCATTTTGGAGACTGGGGTGGGGGAAGAAGACGGCAATCTGCGTCACGCCTAAATCGTGGGCGTGAAAAATTAGACCCACCCTGTTCTGGCTTTAAAGCTAAGGGTTTTCTATCTACTGTAGTACAAAAGGGTTTTGGTTGTCCTTCGCCGACCGCCAAGTGTACACGTGTGCTGTCAACGTTACGCCGCCCCCGCCCCCCAACTACCTCCACCCCCCCCCCCCCCCCCCCCCCC